ATACATTGCTAATTTTGATGCTCCGGACGAATATATATGTAAGTATGATTTTATAATATTATAACGCCAGGATATCATTACAACGCTAACCTGTATTTCACGAAATTCACTGTTTAAACCTTATTTTTTTTTTTAACAAACAATTTTCTCGTACAATATTGCCTTTAAATTTTTCTCTATATAATTGAGAAGAATGTAAATTGAGAAAAAAAAAAGCGAAGATTGCATTATTTAAAGATCAACTTCATACATCATCACCAAACTCTATTAATCGATTTATCGTGATTCAACAATAAAGAATTCAAATGTTTTAATCATATCAAGTGGTTTTACTTACGTCAAGGGCTTTTACTTTAATCAATAGTCAAAATGGCGACGGTGAGAAACTACTTTTAGTCAATATTTTAGTTACGTCAATGACTAAAGTCAAAAGTTTCATCATCCTTATTGTAATGAACAACGAAAATTTCATTAAGGATAACTTCTGATCCTTGCTTGGAAAAGCACAACTTTTGGTCCTTGGAGAGGAAAATAATAGATAATCAACATTCTAATAAAATAGAACTCTGTGATAAGTAGAATCATTATTTTTATTAGATAAAATTAATCATTAATAACTTTTAAAAATAAAAATTAAATAAAAGCATTGTCTTTATTTTCTTTGTTTAAAGCGCTTTGATAAAAGCAACGAGTGTAGTTAATGCCTTGGTAAAAAGTAACAAACAGTTATGGAGCTTTGGTAAAAAGCCACGTTTATCTGCTTTAGTGAGCAAGTAAGCAAGGTTAGGACTGACGTCATTGGTTAACTAGTGGATGTCAATGGAGAATCGTCCAAAGGTTGATCGGAAATACTGGTAGTCGTAAAGATAAGGTTGTTAAACAAACTACTTGAGTTGTTTTGCAAGTAAACCAAGGCGAGTTTGCAATCGGCCAATAAACGTAAACACTGAAACAAATCGATCACAAATGAATAAAAAGGATCCTTATAACATTTCAAAAGGGCCATCATTATTTAATTACATTTATCTGGTACCATTAAGTGTGCCCACAGATTCGTCTAGGTGCAGTGATCGAGAACTAAAGTAAATTCGTATTATGAGTTATTAACTGACAAGGGTAGCCCAAAAGTTAAGCCATAATTATTAATTAACCAAAATGATACCTCGCAATATCATCATTTAACAAGAATCAGAAAACTATAGAAAGTTTATTATAGGAAATATTATTATAAGAAACAAAATAAGATAAAATAAAAAGATAAATAAAACGAAGATAATAAATTTATAGTGGAGAGATTAAATTAGTCATTCATTGCGTCTTTTCTTTTACTATTGTTATATACTAGAATTTAATGTATGTTGATTAATTAATTAATATTGTTAGTAATAATTAATGGATAGTAATTTCCAATTGATTAATAATGGAATTTTTATTTACCTTTGTTAAGAGAAAAGAGTTAAAATCAAGATTATATAACGAAGTATCATTACTTGTATAACTTTTAGATCTAGCAATCTCTTCATTTAATATTCTACTTGTATGATATGCATCCGGATGTGATTTCTGTGCTTGTTGCAAAGCACTTCTACTACCACCAACACTGCTGCTGCTTCTACCATCATTATTAAAAAATTTGAATAATCTTTTTATTAAACTTTTATTATCATTAATAATTTCTTTGAATTTATTATCAGCAAAATCAAACAGCTCTTTACTAGTTGGTCTTTTTGATGGATCCACATCCCAACACCTCTGCATCATTTGCACATAATCATCAGGCATTCCAGTTAATATTGGTGGTCGTAA